ATTATACTGAATCCAAAATCTAAGATCATATTTTGAATCGAGAACTTAAGTTCATATTTTGAATCTAGAACTTAAGGTCATATTTTGTATTTAATCGAGAATATGAATTGAGTATTTAGAATTCAAAACTTAAGGTATATAATATTTGTAATGTGGAACTTAATGTTTTTAGTTTGAGATCTGAATCTAGGAACTAATTTTTATGTAATTTGCATTGATTTGGAACTTAGAATCCAAGACTTAAGATAATATTTTTAATCTGGAACTTAGGATTTTAGTTGGAGTTTAGGACCTAAATTCAGATACTGAATCCGAAGTCTATATATATTTTAAATCTATACATATAGAATGAAAGCTTGAATTTAGAGTAAAATTCATATTTTAATCTGAAAGCAAACTCTAGGTTTAAAATGTGAATATTGTTTAGAACTGAACATTTATTGAAAAAAAATGTTTTTTTGTTTATAATGAGGGTTTGTAACTAAGGGATACCTAATACAATATAACAGAAAACGCAAATAGGTTATCGTACTTGAAAGATATAGTATATACATCGTCCGGCGTCCACTATCGCTTTGTATATACGTATATAAGCCCGAATCTAACGATTCGTGGCCCGATGGACGTCAGCTAGCCGGGCTAATTTACGTACGTTATATAAACCGGAGTTCTATGTGGCGAAACTAAGTGTACATACGGCGCGGGGGCGGGGCCAACTCGAAATTGTCACTGCAAGGACGATTGTCACTTGTCGTCGTCGCGGCGCTTGCGCTACGTCCTCGGGTCCATAGGTTGGCGTCGCGACTGACGACACGCCCGGCATCCTCGCGACCCTTGACCTCACGCTAGCCCCGGACACGCAGGGCCGCACTAAGGGATCGCACCGGTCGGCTATCGATTTTATATAGGGCAAAGTGGGAAATATATTTTTTTACATTTATATCTTAAAAAACTAAGCTGGACTCAATTTAGTTTTCAATAGTAGAAGATGATCTGTCTTTCTTTCAGTATAATATACCTATAGTTAGACAGATGGGCCGTAATTATAATTAAATGCAGATATTATAAGTCATCGAATTTAACGATTCATAATTTGAATCAAAGTTGATATCGATCATAATCTAGAACATAAATTTATAGTTGAATCTAAGACCCAAATTCACAATTTGAATCCCAAGTTTATATTTTGGGTCATACATATTTTAAATCTGGAATTTAAAAGCATATTGTGTATGTATAAAGCCAGAGTTGTTTATAATTTGAAACTAGAATCTATATACACAGATTTTGAGCCTGAGTTCATATTTTGAATCTAGAAGCTAAATTCAGATTTTTATTTTTTAAACCTATATAAGTTTATAATTTGAATTTAAATCCTTTCAAAATTATTTTGAAGTTCTAATTTTGATTCTAGAACCTAAGATCGTGTTTTAAATCTAGGACCTATTTTTGACTGTATTACGCAAGTTTATAATAATAATAGAATCTCGAATCTATGTACTTGGATTTTGTACCTTAGTAAAAATTTTGAATTTCGAAATTAATAAGTTGATATATTGGATCTCAGATCTAAGTACCTACATAATTTGAAGGTAAGATTTTATTGGGATTTTAATTCTATAGGACCTAAGTAAGTTCTTATTTTGAATATGGAGCTTAAGTTCATATTATGAAACTAGAACCAAAGTTTATATAATGTTAATTAAGTTCAAATTTTCGTTCTAGAACCTAAGATCATGTTTTAAATACAGGACCTAAATGTATAATTTGAATCTAGAACTTAATTTGTCATTTCATTCCAGATTTTAAGATAATATTAATTTAAGTAAATATTTTGAATATGGAACCTAAGTTCATATTTTAAATCTGGAACTTAAGTTTATATTATGAAACTGGAACCTAAATTTATAATTTGAATCTAAATCCTAAGTTTAAATTTAGATTCTAGCACCTAAGATCGTACTTTAAATCTAGAACCTATAGTTCATCAGTTTAATCTAGATTTTAATTTTATATTATAAATTTAACTAAATATTTTCAATCCTAAATTTAAGATCATCATATGAATCTAGAACATAGGTTCATATTATGAATGTAGATTTTAAGTCGATATTTTGAATCTTGAAACTGAATAGTACAGTCCAGAATTGAGTAGTACTCTATAGGAATTCGTGAATAAAGGAAATCATATTTAAGTTGATGTCCTTTTAAATTTATATTCTGAAGAATCAACATAATATGCCAGAAATAATTTGGAGTAAATTTTTATTATGAGGATTTCACTCCTTAATACTGCTCTGCTAGAGTTATAACAGCTATGCCGGCGTCTTCCTTTTGACTTCGATCGCCAGAATTTTACCGCCCCCTACCGCAACTTTTTATATACTAAATTTTTCTTTTTCTCCAATAGAACACTAACTTAAAATATTTCCCAACATTTTTTTTTCGTTTTTTATTCAAATTCTCGGAATTTATAAAGAATTCATTAAGTATTTTAAAAAATATGTATTGGGTATTAATAAAATTTAGTCTTGAAGTTAACGTTTTGTTACTTAAAATCAAGAAAATATTGCATGTGCTATAGGAATAGAATTAAATTAGATGAAGCGATAATATCAATTCCTCATTATGAAATAATTGATTTGTTAAATGGCAATTGAAAGCGATATCTAAGTTGCAGAAAGGCGTGATTATTTTCACAATTCATTGTCAGAAAATGACCTTAAACTACAATAAACCGAGATATGTACTAAACCGAACACGGCATGCTATATATATTTTATTAATTAACAGTTCAGGTTAATACGTACACTTCAATTAGAAGGTGTGAATAAATTACCGTGATAATTTAATTTAATTTAAAACTATGAATATTTTACTTAATTACGATTTTAAATGGTATTTTAATTTCATTTCGGTTCGAAAGAAAATTAATTTTATATTTATGATCTGTTGTCATACGGGACATCAGAGCTGTATAATGTCATAATTATGTTCTATTTAAATTTATTGCACATTAATTTTATTACAATAGTTTTTAATTAATTTATTAAAAATAATTTTTATAGGAATATTATTAATGTATTGATGTAGAATTATTAAAATTATTTTAAAAAATAATTATTTTTTATTTTTAAGTTTACTTCTATATTGTTTCAGTATTTTTTTAATCTTTAAAGTAATGATTTTAGTAGGTAAAAATAAAAAAAAAACATCAATATCTATTATTAAAATAAACCATAGGTTAACTACAATAAAAAACGTAAATTTAATTTAATTCAAAACATAGAATAACACAAACAATTTAAATATTGTATAATTATTTATTAATTTATCAGAATAAAAACGGCAGTATAAATTATTTATTTTCATAATTTTAATAACTGGTTAAAATCGACAAATAAAAAGAAATGTATCTATGTATTTAAAAATTTCTAATAGATATTTAAGTGTTGTAAAGGGATCTGGTAATATTATCAGATCTAAAAATAAAAATTAATTTTTATTTTTCGATCTGATGGTAATATTGAAACGAAACATACTAAAAACAGATTTAAAAACAAGAAATTGACAAAAAAAAAATGGAAAATTGATAATTAAAATTTAAATTTTTATAAAAATATTGGAATTCGAGCGTCAAAATGTGCGAGGTGTTGTATAAGAATTTCTAATAGATATTTCAATGTTTAAATGGATTTGGTAATATTGTCAGAACAAAACATAGTAAAAACAGACCTAAAAATAAAAATTTGACAAAAAAAATATTTAAAAATGAAAAAAAAACAATCAAATGTGTAAGATGTTGATTGTAATAAAATAATAGCGAGAAAACTCTATGTTTAAGAATTTCTAATAAATATTTAAATGTCTACATAGATCTGGTAATATTATCAGAACAAAACCTAGCGAAAACAGATTTTTAAATAAAATTTGAGAAAAAATTAATTATAAACGAAAAATTGACAAATAAAATTTAAAATTAATTATATAAAAATATTGGAATTCGAGCGTCAAATGTGCTAGGTGTTGATTATAATAAAATAATAAAAAGAAAAAGTGAAGGTATATTTAAGCATTTCTAATAGATATTTAAATGTTGTAAATGGATCTGTAATATTATCGGAACGAAACTATCATAGTAAAAATAGATTTAAAAACAAAAGATTCACAAAAAATAATTAAAAACGAAAAATTGATAAATAAAATTAAAATTTTAATAAAAACATTAAAATTTGAGCGTCAAATGTGTGAGGTGTTGGTTATAATAAAATAATCGAAACGAAAATATATGTTTAAGAATTGCGAATACATATTATTTAAATGTTGTAAATGGATCTGGTAATATTATCAGAATAAAACACAGTGAAAACAGATTTAAAAATAAAAAAAAAATTAAAAAAATAATTAAAAGCGAAAAATTGACAAGTAAAGTTTAAAATTCTATAAAAATATTAGAATTCGTGCATCAAATGTGCTAGGGGTTGATTATAATAAAATAATAGAAAGAGAAATATGTATGTTAAAAATTACTAATCGATATTTAATTGTTGTAAAGAGATCTAGTAATATTATCAGAATAAAACGCAGTGAAAACAAATTTAAAAATACAAAAAAAATAATTAAAAACGAAAAATTGACAAGTAAAGTTTAAAATTCTATAAAAATATTAGAATTCGTGTATCAAATTTGCAAGGGGTTGATTATAATAAAATAATAGAAAGAGAAATGTATGTTTAAGAATTTCTAACAGATATTTAAATGTTGTAAAGGGATCTGGTAATATTATCGGAACGAAACATAGTAAAAACAGATTTAAAAATCGAAACGGATCGTGTGTAGATAGCGCAACAGAAAAACAAGCGAAAATGAAATCAATCTGTCCATTAATTGCGGCCGTCCGTTTAAACGGAATTAAAGAGAAGAATATCGTTTTTAGCCGTGAGTATTCGGCCGGCGTCGAATGGGCCGCTATGAAGGAAGCTCACATGAGTTAGTAGCCCGATCTTCCATTGCGCCGAATGCATGGAACAGCGTGCAGCTCCTCTCGCAGCCGTTTATCAATTAAAATCATGCGTTCCTACGTTACTAAGCTCGACGAAAACAATGCTTGGCTGATCTAAGCTCCGCCTGTCCCACGATTGGTCGCCTTCATGTGACACTTCGCGCCACCAACGACAATGTCCACATAGACCCGTCGAGATCACCCATTCATATATATTGTTTAGTGTGTTTCTAGTGTTCGATGTCCCGTGACACACTAATTTCAGAAAGCATGAGCACTTCCCAGCCGTTACGGCCCGCCTTAAACGTAAGTTTATATTGGGAAATTTCTTTTCTAAATATACACGTATTTCCACAGCTTAAAATAAATCTTTTAAATTTAAACTCTTGTTTATTTATTTGCGGTATCGCTACTCCTGTTGTATACGGCAGGGCCTGTCTGTTTACCTCTACGGTGTTGTTGTTTGTCTGTGCAGGATATCTGTCTTTTAGTTAAAGTGTCTATTTGTCGGAAAAACTATACAAACACCGCCAAAAATATACTTAAACTTCTTTCTATTATTCTAAAGCTTAAACAAACACCACAGATTTAAAATATGACTTACAAATTTATTATTTTTTCTATTAATTAATATTACTACCTAAAATAAAAGGCTAGATATCTGATTTAAAATATTTGTTATAATTTAACACTATACACTATTTTTTTGTTGTTTATAACTGTTCATTATTAATGAAACATAAATAATTATAAATATACACTAGTTTATTGAGAACAAAATAAAGAAAACTTAAAACAAATATATCATAAGTATTAAACTATTTTTAAATGATTTTGAAATTTTGATTTAAAATAATATTTTTTAATGCATTCCGGAGTTATATTTAAAATATTTTAATAAATAATTAGCATTTTTATGAGTTTTTATGATTTAATACGAAATATTATAATTTTAATTGATTCAGAGAAATCATAACTTTTTTTATCAAATTCTTATCAGTTTTCATAATTTATAGAACTATGATTAGCATTTTTTATCAAGTTCTTAGAATGTATTATCTATTTTTTAATACTATATTTTTGACAGCTCTTGTTTGTATGAAAACAAAAATACATTGTATCATATTTCAGGCATTATTGTACCAGTAAGATACTACTTTGAAGACTAGAACTATGATTATTTTTTATCAATTTCCTATAATTTTCTATTATCTATTTTTTAATATTATGTTGTTAACTGCCCTTGTTTATATGAAAACCGAGTACAGTATCTTATATTTCGGGCAATATTGCACCACTAAGGTACTACTTTGGAGACTTTTATGGACTTAGAATACCAGTCCGTTTTTAATTACATACAATTATTTGGATATTTTTTTCTATAAAATACCTATAAATTAATTTATTGAAGTAAATGAGTAAAAATTAATTTGGAAGTTAATAAATATATTTAAATATCTTTTAAAGGATATTATAATCTTATATATAGGACATGTTATGACACATGCTGAGGGTTGAAAATTTGTCAAAATTTCAACGAAACCAATCTATTTGACGTGGTATATTAATAATAAATGTGAGTTAAAGGGTCGGTGCGATAATCACCAATTTTAACGGTAATAAATTTAAGTGAATTAGCATTAAACGTGCCTAAATAAAGACTGATTAAATGGCGTCCAGAGATAAATCATCTTGTAACTTACATTAAATTCTGGTTTAATATATGCACAAGTGGCTGCCGCCTGTTAACTAAAATCACCCGGGGCCTTATTGCTTGTTTTTAAATCGTCATTACACTTAAATCAATTTTATTCTTACTTATATCCATTAAAACACCTTATTTTACATAATATAGCTGTTGTTAACAAACGCGGGACCCCATCGGCAGTGTTTATTGCCTCGTTGACGAAGTGATTGTTTAAATAATTTGTTAAGGAAGATCGAACAAGTTATTAGTACTTAATATTTTATAATTATGTCGTTTTGACAGTAGAATTCGAAAATAATGTCATAATAAATTATTACAGCAATAAAGATTTAAGGTTTGTAGTGGTTCAAGATCACTGATCAGGCAGAGATGTGACTTATATCAGATATATATATATATATTTGAAATACAGATATAAGATACAAAATACGTATTTTATTTTATATTTGAAATACTTTTTTTAATTTCATCTTGTTCTTGTATTTAGATACATTTTTTATCTTAATATTTTATAAATACTTAGTTTGCTATAAAATTAAAGATCTGTCCTCGATGGCCTGGCTGAAACACGTAAAATTAATCGGTAGGAAAAACAAAAATTGGACACTTTTAAACAACAATGGAAAATACCTAAAAAGAAAGACAAAAGACGAATCTTATTACATGTTTTTAGTGAACTCTAGTGGTTTACTGGCAGCACCGGTGAGTTAGAAACACTGCAATATTTAAGTCATAAAGACATCAGCTTAAAGATTTTAATTTGTACCCTACAATTAAAAAAAACAACAAACACCTGTTTGCCGAGTTTTGCCCACGTGGAGCGAGTCTTTTCTTTTGAAGGAATGATTTTGACACCACATCGAAGAAAAATAAGTGACACAGTCGTGTTTGAAGAACTAGTTTTACTTAAGCCTAAATTGGCCAAATAAAACTTTTCAAATATATTTCCTCTGATTTACACGATTCTTGTTCATAATTATTAATAACGTAATAAGCTAAATAAACCTTAAAAATAGAAAAAAATGTTTTCAAGAGAAAATAGAAAATACATATTTTATATCTAGTATTTCAAATACCTTTTCCAAAAGTATCTTGTATCTGATACCTCAAATACTTTGCCTGGAAGTATCTTGTAACTTTTTGTATTTCAGATACTTTTTGTGAGGTATCTTGTACATCTCTGCTGATCAGAAACATTTAAATATATTTTTAAAATTAAGTAATTTTACATAATACTTTTGAATGGTATAAGAAACAAAGTGTTCTTCGATCCCGTATTTCAATCTTAAACGATATTTTCCACAATTTAAGGTGGGATAACTGTGATTGTGGATAATTGAATCAGAGATTGCGTATTATTTTCGATTTCATTACTGGCCTTTTTAAAAACGGGTAGAATCCGCCGGAGCAGCTGTAATAACCACCCTTTTGGACTATTCACATAAATTATATACCACGCTAACGATTTAGTTGTCATTTAATCGGATCTTGCGTGTGGAGAAACTTATACGGGGTCCTGCAATTACGAACAATCCGCTTGAACGCAGCCTTTAAACGTCGAACTGATCGTTTCGCATTCTTTCTTCTTTTTTTCGACTGCTTTTCTTTTTCCCGGTTTCGTTTATTGCATTAAACAGACCTTCTATTATCCAAATCCAACCGTCTCATCAACAAATCACAGTTTTGCTACACTCCTATTCAAAATAATTTCATCTGTTCGTCCTCGAATAGTAAAAACACTTAATAATATTTTCAAAATGTCTTATTTTTCTAGACATGATATTCTTTTAGAATATTATTTAGTATAATATACTAAACCACAGAAATTTTGCTCGTTAAAACTCAAAAGTTTTAATCATCTGCTGATGATGCTAACATGGTTAGCGAAACGCGCGTCCAGTGCAAAAGTAAAGTGTTTTCATATATACAGGGTGTTTCAAAAAACATGTGCCATCTCCCGTAGGGAGATTCCTCGCGTAAAAATAAGATTCATTTTTCATATCAACATAGGTCCGATTCTGCGTTGTTTCGTAGCTACAGGGCGTTAAAGTCTTAATATTTTTTCGATTTATTATAATTTTCTTCCAAGTGCTTTTAGCGTTTTGAATGAAATTTTGAGGGTAAAACTTCCTATAAATGCGACATATTTTAAAGCTAAAAAAGTGTCACATATTCACCAGGGACGTGCATATGGGTTATCACTGGAATATATTTCTAAAAAAAACTGTACGCCACTGACTTTTTTTTTCTGTTAGCGAAATAGTGTAAGCAGTTTAATGCCGATTATAAAAGTTGTCTCTTGATATTTTATCGATTTCGGCCTCCTTGACGAGATAAACGCAATTTTGCCTTGCTCCAAGTCTAATCAGCCTTTAAAAAAATTTAATATCATTAACTTGCGAAAGTTTGAAATAAGTACTTATTGATTTCTCATCAAAAAATATGAAAAAAAGTTCCTATAAACGTGGGTATCGAAATGCACAGTTTTAGAGTTACAGGATGTTAAAACTTTTTAAAACTATTTTATTTTGTAATTATCTGAAATACCATTATTTTTTTATTTGAAATTGTTGTAGGTTTGACTAATAGTAATAATATTTAATAATAAATTAGGTAAAATATATAATTTATTAATTTTATTTTTATTTTAGTTTTATTAATTGTGATTAATAAAATTGTTTTTATCTCTTCAAGGAGGCCGAATTCGACAAAATATCAAGAGATAACTTTTAATTAGCATTAAATGGCATACATCATTTTGATATCAAAAGAAAAAAGTCAGTGGCGCACATATGTACGTCCCTGATTCATTTATCGACACATTTTTAGCATTAAAATATGTAGCACTTATAGCCTCAAAATTTCATTCGAATCACTAAAAGCACTTGAAAGAAAATTATAATAAATCGAATGGTTATTTAGTTTAGCACCCTGTAGCTACGAAACAACGCAGAATCGGACCTATGTTGATATGAAAAATAAATCTTGAGGAATCTCCCCACGAGAGATGGCACATGCTTAATGAAACACCCTGTATATACCCTGTGTTTAATGAGTGCTTTATTTTATTGACATTCATTCATGTTTTTTTTAATATACAATTTTTGTCAGATCCTTCTTATTGTCGTTAGTGGGAATAGGTATAATTTAGTTTTGTTCCTTTTTTATTCCAATAAAGCCGCCAGCAAAGGATCCTTATTGTCAATTATATCTCGGGACCGAAATTGCTTTTAAAACAACTATATAAGGCGTTTATTTACCTTTCCGCCATAATTATAAGCAATCTCTCGAAATTAGTCGTCGCTCGCGATATCGGTAGGGCACAAGGCAATCAAAAAAACCACCAAGTCCCAGTGTCTTATGGACAATGTATAATGATAAGTCTGGCCAGTCTTTTCGATTAATAATTGAAAATTGCCGCCACGTTGCTTGGTCATTGCCTCGTTTCATGGGGAAACTTCCTTCTTTTTTTATTTAGGTCACACGATGGAGGATACGTACATCCAATATGGCCTCCGGTAGGATAGGGATCGTTCAGTTGCCAGGTGCGGGATCGAATACAGGGCAGCACAGATTTGAAATATAAAAGAAATACAAA